CATGCCAAACGCGGTCGAAGGCCTTTGAAGTGTCGAGCGAGACCATGTGAGTTTCTCCATAGTTATCGAGTGCAGCCAACCGGGAATGTGATGTGAGCGCTAATAAGTCACCCCTAGATCGACGAGGGTGAAAGCCATACTGACAGTCATTTAACAAACCGTCGCGTTCGAGAAACGTACGCAGATGTTCGAGGGTAATGGTTTCAAACACTTTCGAGATTACAGATGTAAGAGTAATGGGACGGTAGTTGTTGGGGTCGGAAGGGTCGCCGCGCTTTGGGATTGGAAAAATAATGGCATTTTTCCATGGAGTAGGGAAAGATTTAGGTTCGAGTGAATAACAGAAAAGGCGGCGTAGAACAGTGGCTAACTCCGGGGCACATTTTTACGACGACAGGTGGAATGCCGTCCGGATCGGGTGGTTTGCAAACATCCAAACCGCGAATAGTTTGGCGGACTTTTCTGGTTGTTATGATAGGTAGAAAAGAATGACTGGATGTGTAGGAGGAGGGTTGAACAGTAGAGGCGGCTGATAAGGTGGAGTTGGAGGCAAACCGGGAAGCAAAGACTTCTGCTTTTTCGTGGGGATCACAAACAAGAGTACCAGAGGAATTGCAAATGAGAGGAAAGTTGGAAAAGCAGGAATTAGGTGAAACCGCCTCAGGGAGGGACGAGAATGTTCGATTACCGGTAGCGGAAGAAGCCAAGCGCTCAGCTTTGTGACAAATGAAGCGTTCTTTAGCTCTCTGAATAGTGACCTAGCATTTGTTTCTGGCTTGTGCGAAGCGGTTGCGGGATGCTGGATTGGGTGAGTGGCGCCAAAGATGGAATGCTGAGTTTTCAAAACGTACAGCTCGGTTGCAAGCATGATTAACCCACTCAGGGGATCGTGATTTGCCGGGGTTGGAGAAGTGTGAAATATAAAGATACATGCTTTAAAGAACAATCTCCGTATAGTTTGAAACAAACTTGGAAACATCCGATTTAAAACAACAATCCTTCCAGGGATAACAAGCCAGGAAGTCACTAAAACGGTCCCAGTTGACTGAATCGTAACGCCACAAGGTGCGTTTGGGGTTTGGTGGTGAAATGGAGTAAGAGGTATGAGTGGGAAAAGAAATGAGACAATGGTCCGATGAGCCAGCAAAATGCGGAGCATTCTTGATAAGCGACCAGTACTGGCTAACGTCATCGAGTGGGGTTGATTCTAGCTTTTCAGCTAACGCGTTGTGAAAGACAATTAGGCGTGCTAGTGAAGACAACTGATCACAGTTTAACCGTCGATGTCATGGGTTTAGAATACCCATCGAAGCACATGGACATCTTGGCGCAAACTAACGCGTGGTCGGATTCGAGGGCAGTGCTCCAGTACAATCGGCAGTCTTGTATACAACCCCGCAATTTGTAGCTTATAGCGATGTGGTCGATCTGCGTCCGTCTCTGACTCGAGGAGAGCGGACGCCAAGTGGCGTACCGGCAGTTGGATCGTCTGAGGTTCGTACTGGCGATGAATAGGCGGTGGTCGGAACATAAGACCAACAGCCGTTCCGTGGTTCCCGAACGACAGGAATCTAGTCCGAAAGAACCATCGAGATGCGCCTCACTTGAAGCCAGCCGACCTACTCTAGCATTCATATCTCCTGCCAAATTCACGATATCAGCCCGGGTTACTTTACGCAAGAGGTTGTCTAGGTTATGATAAAATTCATCTTTGACTGCATCTGGGCTGCAGTCCGTCGGGATGTACGCCGACACGACAAACGGGTTTCGTCTATCGGAGCGACGGCTGTTTACTTTACACGAACCTCTAAGCTACTGC